AGCTGATTAAAGTAGCTTCCAGTGTTATTCTGACTGAAGTAAAAATGTGTATTTGTAACTGCCTTCTTATTTTAATACCAACCTTTACAGTAAGTGCCTTCCATACTGAGAACAAAACCTTCACTGCACTGACAAACGCCTTGGTCTGCCAAACTGGAACAGACGTTAACACAGTTGCCACCTTGGTCATCACAACCTGTTGGAAGTGATTGCTTGATACATTATCTAGAATATAAACACAATTAATTTAACTAAGAAGAACTTTAAACGTATGATAATGTTGAGCTGTAACCTGGAAATGGTGATAGCGGGTCTGCTGTTGGCTGATTAAGTGGATGCACGATCTTGATATCAACTGGAGGTTTACTCATTTGTTTTATGTTAACAACACGTGGCTCTCCACCAGTGTACTTGTTTACTTGTTTTATTACCCGAGACTCAGAATCGGTGTAGTATATGTGCTCCAGAAAAACAGATATTCCAACTGAATGAGACCTGATAAAAAAGAAGACATAATGAGTGGGTTTCGATTGGCTTATTTGATCATTTACATCAACATTTTCTTTATTAACAAAGTTAAAGGATGAGTAACAAATTGTTTTTTTTACTAAATACTCACTGAAGTGGAAGATTCATGGTGTGTAGGGCGTTCCCATTGTAATCACAAGAGGCAATGGCACTTTCTCCTTGTGGCCCAAACTGAACCCAGAACAGTCTTTTGTCTACTCGGTCAATCGACAGTGCTCTCAGTTGTTCAGTTATATTAATTAGTGTCATTTTCATCTGTCCTGTGACATCAGACCTTTGGATACTTGGAGACATCCCCCCAGATAACCAAAACAGAAACCTGCAATATGCATGTTTTGGGGGGAAAAAAAAGGTTTTGTAATGAGCCTTTCCAAAATATTTTTTTTCTGAAGTTAGCTTTGCATCTGTTATGAAATATGGAAACTTAGTTGCTTCCAGTAAGGGCACTGCTTAGACATTTCCTCATATGTTAAGCCTGCCAAATCAGGAGACTCATAATTCTTTTGCCTCAAACTCATTTTTGGTAATGCTTAATAAACTGTAGCCCAATTGAATTAAAGCCTGAGAGAAGTGTACGATAATAAGTTATGTAAAAAGCAATTTAAAAATGCTCTTGGCACTTTTTAATCATGAAAAATATTTTTAAATGAAATTATTCAGTGTTGCTTATCCATCAGGCCAAACTGAAGGGAAGTAAATTCCTACTGCTGTCTTTGATCAGAGGTATATGAGAGTCAGTCAGTCAATTTTTATATCATTTGATCCGTCCATATAGTATCGGAAGGATCAAATGAAAAACAGGAAACAAAACAAAAAACTGCTGTCATTATGACATCTGCATAGATTACCTATTAGAGGGGTCAACGGTTATAGAATTGGGCTGGGTCAAGTGTCTTAAAAGAGTCCTCTGTTTCTTCCCATTTATATCGATTCTCTTTACTTCCCCCTTTTCTCCACTTGTCCAGTATACGCTGTTCCAAATCCAGTCCACTGCGAGGCCAGAGATGTGTTTGTCATATGAATACAGTTTCTGCAAAAGAAGCATTCGTAATTAATCATTTTAAATCTGCGGCTCTGAAAGTTTCCAGAACAATGCACGATAACATTAACATTACACAATTTAATTATGGTAATTACACTTTCTGAAAGATATTTTAAAAGCATCCAAATTAACTGCTGTACTAATTAGGTTATTAAAAATTCCTAAATCATTAAAAGTGATCCTAAGCTGCTGGTTAGCTTTGGGGGTATTAAGTCTTATTAGCGCTGTATGCCATACTTTGAAATTTCACACTATTGGGGA